AATCGCCTCTGAGGGCGCCTGTTTAAGATATAGGATGAGCCGGAATCGCCAAACGAGGGGGCGTGTTTAAGATATATCAGGAACCGGAATCGCCAAATGATGGAGCGTGTTTAAGATATATGCTGAACAGGAATCAAACGACAAATGAGAAGGCGTGTTCTAGACATATGAGGGACCACTACTACTATTACTACTAGTACTACTACCATTATTATTACTACTACTACTACTACCACTACTACTACTACTACTACTACTACTACTACTACTACTACTACTACTACTGTTACTACTACTGTTACTACTACTACTACTACTACTACTACTACTACTACTACTACTACTACTACTACTACTACTACTACTACTACTACTACTACTACTACTAAAGCCAAGGAAAACTTAAGGAATTAACACGGAATCCGTAGGAAAATCGTGTTTTCCCGAGGAAAAACCAAGCAAACCCTAAGGAAATGAAAGAATCCGTAGGAAAATCAAGCAAACCCTAAGGAAATGAAAGAATCCGTAGGAAAATAGTGTTTCCCTTGGAAACACTCAGGAATGGCTGCATTTAAAATACTCTATTATTTTTTGATGCTTCTTTTAATTATTTTTTGATGCCCCTGCCCCAGGAATTGGGTATTTTAAATGATTTAATTGTTTTTGATCCTTATTTTAAGTTTTTTAGACCCTTCCATTTAATTTTTTGATCCTTATTTAATTTTTTTTGGATCCCTCACCCCCTGTCCCTGGCAGACTGCTAGAAAATGGTAAAATGGCGTGAAGTGAACACGCCAAAAACACGCAACCTCCTCCATGCTGATTCCACATTATGAACCCTCGAGGAGTTGGACAGGTATCGACCTTTGTCAACCAGGTCATCGATCCGATCCACTGCGCACCTTGCTGAAAGTTTTCACGCGAAGCCGTATTGCGTCTTGCTTTCATGCATTTGACAAGAGCCCAAGACCACCAAGACGAAGGCCCCAGATCTGAGCGCCTTCAGCACAGGATGCAGGCAGCGCCGGAGCCTGCTTTCCTTGCGAAGCTACCTTGCCGCGTTTCCCCGCCAGTGCCTGGAGCTGCAAGTAGAGCGCGAGGCCAGAGATTAACTGAGAGGTTTAGATCTGGGCTGCTGAGGTGCAGGCCGCGCACGTGCCCGCGGCCACGCCCCGGGCAAGCCTCCGATCAACCTCCAAGCCGAGGCTTGGAGCGTGCCTCATTCTATTCGTTTTATCTTCCTGGTCTATGGCCTGCTTCTCCCGCTGTCCATTCGGCAAGAATCTTTTCACTTTGGGATTAGCTCATACAAGCCACAGTTCAAGCTTGAGACTCTACCGGACAGATTCCAAAATTCCATGTTCGTGAAGTGATGGGTATGCAGGCTGCAGCCGAGCGCTGGTACCATGACATCGGGCCAGGGTCGCAGAGAGAAGTCTGCCTTGTGGTCTTTTGAATTCCTGGTCGGGCCCCAGGTTTCATCTGTTCTGGGGCCAGTTCCAGAGATCTGGACACGAAAAGCCAGGATCCCACCTGAACAAAGCCTGGGCCGTTATGCGCCCTTGCCGTTTCAGGTGATTTTTGGTCGGATTGCCCGGTCTAGCAGCCCGTAAACACAACAACAACTTCAGCAGCCGGCGACATCATGTGATCAGGCTCCGGTGCATCAGGCCCCTCGAAAGAGAGGCTTCGAGCGCTTGAGCACGAGCCTCAGCGGTACAGTAGCAGTATACTAGCAGTACCAGTAGTAGCAGCTGGAGCAGCAGAAGTAGTAGCAGTAGCAGTAGCAGTATCAGTAGCAGTAGGCAGAAGCAGAAGCAGAAGCAGTACCAGTCGCAGTCGCAGTAGCAGTAGCAGGAGCAGCAGCAGGAGGAGCAGCAGTAGCAGTGGCAGTGGCAGTAGCAGTAGCAGTAGCAGTAGCCGTAGCCGTAGCCGTAGCCGTAGTAGCCGTAGCCGTAGCCGTAGCAGTAGCAGCAGCAGCAGGAGGAGTAGCAGTAGCAGTAGCAGTAGCCGTAGCCGTAGCCGTAGCCGTAGCAGTAGCAGTAGCAGTAGCAGTAGCAGTAGCAGTAGCATTAAGTAGCAGTAGCAGTAGTAGCAGTATCAGTAGGAGCAGGAGAAGGAGCAGGAGTTGAGTTGAGTTGGAGTAGGAGTCGTAGCAGCAGCCGAGGAGGAGTAACAGCAGCAGGCGCAGGAGGAGTCGTAGTAGTTAGTAGTTGTTTTGAAACAGTAGTCGCAAGACTTGGATTGCTAGTTGGATGTTGAGCTGCTTGAGGTCTGAGGCGGCCTCGCAGTCAAAGCGAATCCGTGTCCTGGAGGTGGGCAGCAAACGTCAAAACTGTACGGAGCAAAACAAACTTCAGGGTTTCAAGATGGTTGCAAAAGGTTTTGCAAGCTTGTCGTTTCGAGAAAATTCGTCTTTTCATGTGAAACTACAAGTCTCAGCTTGACATCAGGTTATCAGGGTCTCGCAGGCAGAGGTTCAAACTGCCCGAGCGTCCTCGCTGCTGCTAGTGATCGAAGTTTGAAGTTCCAGAATGCATGGCCGTAAGTTTGAGGGGGATCATTGCTCGACCACGGTCCACAGCAAATGGTGCTGAGCAGGCGGCGGAGGTGCTCTCTGTAGTGAGCTCTGAGCATACTTGGAGGATCATGGGACTTAGTAAGTAAGGTTGTAAGTACCTTAATTAGGGTCACAAATAACTCCAAGAGCGGTCCCTTTTGTAGGCAAGTTTCGTAGGTAAGTTTCGGTGCCATGGCAACTATTGTAGTTTTGAGGGTTTAGGGCTTAGGGAGTTTAATATTATACCCTTGCTAGGCATTCATGAAGCCACATAACCCCTTGACATGATTCGGAACAGCCCCCCGCCCCCCACACCCCCCCGCCCCCTGCAGGCTGAGCGGTCACTTGTGCAAAGATTTGCCCGTTCGCTTGTGCAAAGCGTTGGGCGGTCGCTTGTACGCGCGGAGGTGCGTTTTGTATTGGCAGGGCCAATGAATTCGGAGTTCGTTACTTGTAACTTCGCGATGTTGGGGAGGCCTGAAAGTGCATGAAACGTCGGCAGGGCCGTGGTTTCCGGCTTTGGGCGTGCACGCTCGAAATCGCGCTTTTTGGCTCCGAAGTTGTTAAAGTGCTGGCAGGGCCACAGGATTCGGCTTCGCCGCGTCTCTCTTTAGCCCCTGTTTTCAAGCATTTGAAAGCAAGCAATCGACTCGAAACCTCGACGGGGGCGGCGGTTTTGCTTCATGCCGCATGCATTCCAAACGATGTTGGTTATTCGCGGATCGTGGAAAGACAGCGTGTTTTGCAAGGCCATTCCTGCACCGTGCACTTCTTCTCCTTGGATTCTGCGGGTGTTCTGTCCTCGGAACCCCTCCAAAACGCGCTTTTGGAGCCTGCAAAATTGCGTTCTGGAGGTCGGTCCGGAGTTTATGCTTTGCGGGAGGCAGTAGTGCGGCGCGTCCAACGCGAGGTCTCGGCTACTGGCCAGGCCAAGCCAAGCTTCTTCATGTGGAACCCAGCACGAGCGAGTCAGGGGGACGAAAGCAGCGGTTACTTTTTGCTTTCCTCGCCTCCGAGCGGCATGAGGTTCGGACCTTGCAAAACCTGCTTTTCCAGGCTGCAAAAGCACATTTCGGCGGTCCGTTCAGAGTTTGTGCTTTGCAGGCTCCGAGCGCCTTTCGCTGCACAGGTCACAGGATTCGGCTTCGCCGTGTCGGTCTTTAACGCCTGTTTTCACACGCGTCAGACACGGACGTTGTTGGCTCACCCCCACCCCCCACCCTCCCCACCTGGAACCAACAAGAACGTGCTGGCGCCAACGCGACTTCCTTTGCTGCACGCGTCAATTACCAACATTGTTAGCCCCCCACCCCGGGACCCCTCGCACCTGCTGCTGCCAACGAGCGTCAAAATCGAATGTTATTAGCCCCCCACCCCACCCCACCCACCCGCCCCCCCATGGGACCAACCAGAGCGTACTGCTGCCAACGCGACTTCTCTTGCGCCAAGCGCGGACGTTCTTGGCCCCCCACCCCACCCCCACCCGCCCCCCCAGGACCAACCAGAACGTACTGGTGCCAACGCGACTAACACGGACGTTCTTAGCCCCCCACCCCACCCCCCCCCGCCCCCCCAGAACCAACCGGAACGTGCTTTTCGACCACCCCACCCCCCCTCCAACCAAGCCCCACCCGCCCCCCCTGGAACTAACATGAAAAAAATGGTTCTTAGCCCCCCGCGTCAAACACGTCGAACACGGACTTTATTAGCCCCCCCTGGAACCAACAAGCACTTCTCTTGCTGCACGCGTCCAACACGAACGGTATTAGCCCCCCACCCCACACCCACCCTCCCCCCCTGGGACCAACAACAACGTGCTGGTGCCAACGCGACTTCTCTTGCTGCATGCGTCAATTACCAACGTTGTTAGCCCCCCACCCCACCCCTCGCACCCTGGGACAAACAAAAACATGCTGCTGCCAACGAGCGTCAAAATCGAATGTTATTAGCCCCCCACCCCACCCCTCACCCACCCGCCCCCCCATAAAACCAACCAGAGCGTACTGCTGCCAACGCGACTTCTCTTGCTCCAACACGGACGTTCTTGGCCCCCCACCCCACCCCCCCACCCGCCCCCCCCAGGACCAACCGGAACGTACTGGTGCCAACGCAAGTTCTCTTGCTCCACGCGCTAAACACGGACGTTCTTAGCCCCCAACCCCACCCCCCCACCCCCCCCCAAGAACCAACCGGAACGTGCGTTTCGAGCCTCCAAGAATACGTTTTCCATGGAAACACTGAAACTGCTTTTGCTGCAAGCGTCAAACCTGACGTTCTTAGCCCCGACCCCCCCCCCGCCCCACCCCACCCCAGCCAGGAAGCCCCCCCCACCCCGCCCCCCCAGCCCCACCCCCCCCCAGGACCAACCAAAACGTACTTTTCGAGACTCCAAAACTGCGTTTTCGATGGTGCCGTTTTCAGCCCCCGAAGCATGCTCTGAAAACACTTATCCGGAAACCAACGAAAACATGCTTTTCGAGACTCCAAAAGTGCATTTTCGATGGTCTGTCAGATGTTTCCTAAAACAGCTCAAAACGCACTTTTCGGCCAGCACTTAGACTTGCCGACTGGGCAAGTGCACTTTCCTATGGTTTTTACAATGGATTCGGCACTTTGGCGCGCAAATGTCGTCAATTTCGGCTAACTTGCAAAGTGGGTTTTCCTATGGTTTTTATAATGGATTCGACACTTTTCCATGCTTCTTGAAGCCATTTCCGAAAAAGACCGAAGTGCACGTTCCTATGGTTTTTACAATGGATTCGACACCCGTCTTTGCGCAAGCGACTGGGCAAATCTTTGAGCAAGCGACGTGAATTTCTTTGCGTAAGCGACGGTGCTGCCACTTTTGAAGGGCGGGAACAGCCGTAAGTTTCATTAGATCCAGGCTTATGTTGCGACACGCAACTTGTGACGGATAGATATGTAGAAAGATAGACAGATTGGCTTGAGAGTCCCGGTGCCATGATGCAGGAGCAGCCCGAGATCGTGACGCCGCCAGTGGTGACCGTTGAGGCCGAGGCCAGGTTGAGCATTTTGCTGACAGTTTGCGAAGCCGTTGAAGCCTTTGCTTCATGCAAGATCCGGACATGTTGTCCCAGCAGAAGCCTGGCAGAAGTACTTCCACAGCTGCCGTGACTTTGTGTGTCTCTCTGTGTTCCATGACGGAGGAGGAGGTTGACATGAAGTCCAAAATCGCCGACATGCGAAAACGCCACTGCAGCTGCACAGAACCTAAGCATAGCGGCATTCAAGGGATTTTTGTTTCGTCTACCCGGCGGGGACCTAGGAGCTTTGAAGCCTTTTGGTGACAGGGTCGGAAGTATTTTCCTTATGATGCGCAGAAGGGTCAATGATGTTTTGGGTAAAAGAAGACAAGAGTGTGTGAGTTAGAGTGTTAGGGTATAGGGCTAATAACCGCGAAACAGTGTACGCAAAAAGCCCGTCATCATTAAACATGCCTCTAAACTCTAAACCCCTAAACCACCCTAAACCCCTAAACCCCCAGCTTCATGCCACTCATTGAGGCCACTATAGTCTCCATGTAGCCACACTCGCCCGTGAGCTGAGCCAGGGTAGTTGGACTTGAACCCTTGATCTCCCGTGCCAAACACCCTGACACATAAGGCTTCAACGTAGTAGTTCCAGTAGTAGTAGTCGTCGTAGCAGTAGCAGCAGTAGTAGCAGAGAGTAGTAGAAAAAGACATATGGCGATCTGGACGAAGTAACGGCGAATCTAAGCCTTAGCATCTCGGTCTGAGCTGTCGTGCTTCACACTCGGATTCGCATTGAAGTGCTGAACTGGGGCTTGATCCTCAAATGCAAACCCAACGTAGTCTGCGAAACCAGCAGCCAGGAATGTTGTCCTTTCGGATGGCAGGGGTTGTGGTCAGTCTTGTTTAAGGTGTCCATCACCCACAGGCTTCTTTCTTAGCACATCAGGCTACCAGGCCACCAACACCAATGGTGAAGCACCTGATGTGTCTTTGCGGTCCACACATGAGTTGCGGACATTATCCACATGAGGCCTGAGGGTTTGCAGGTTACAGAGGCTCGTGCAGCATATCGTCCATCAACAGCATCACCATTTTCTGCATCCTTGGGATCAGGCTCCCAACCCGAAAGCCTGAGATTGAAACACTTCAAAGCTTCTCAAAACGTTCCAACATGGAGCAAGGCTGGAGTTGGGTAATCCCAGGGTGGGTCCTTGAGCTCTGGACCTCATAACTTGCTCAGAACTTAGTCGAATGGCAAGGACAATCTAGTCCTTCAAATGGTTACGAACCCGAAATCCGAAGCCGAAAAGAGTTGGGATCCGGATTTACGATCACCGGAGAGCTGAACGTGCAGAATTTCTTTCAAAACCGGCGTAGAAGCTTAGCCTGAACTCCTACAACCTGAGCCCTAGGTCTCAAGCATTCTGCTGCAATCCCCAGAAAACTATCCCTACAGGACTAAAGCCTAAACGATCTCAATGTGCCCAGGCATGGCGGACAAGGCGCCTCCTTGGACGTCTTTTTGGCGTTTAGGTTTAGGGTTTAGGTCCCTGGTTTAGCTGTGGTTTAGGGGTTTAGAGTTTGGGTCGAGGGTTTATGGGAAGTTTAGGGTTTAGGTCCAGGGTCCAGGGTTTAAGGTTTAGGGTAGATCAGGGCTCAAGTCAGGTTTCTGTGGGACTGCTCTTGGATCTTTATGGTTGTTGTGGGGGTTTGCATGGGTAGGCAACAGGAACGTGATGGTAGTTGAGCTGGCAAATATCGGCAATAGCACACCATCCAGGGTATGGCATCATGCACTGCTGCGCTTGCACCGCGTGGGGCCTACGGATGCTTCTTCGGCTTCACGGGTAATGCTGGAACCCTAACCAGAGCCCACCTCCCCGATCCAAACCACCATACAGAGTGTGACTAGAGCCCGAAACCATTGAACAACTTCAAGCCCTTAAACCCAAGCTTTCAGCAGTTGCAAATCCCCAGCTGCTCATGAAGCCCCAAACCCTAAACGCTGAACCCTAAACCCTAAACTATACAGCCCTACGGCCTCAACCCTTGCTAGCCTTGATTAATCATTACCAATACTATTTGTCCGCGACACGCCTTTCTCTTAAAGGAACCCCTACTCCATGTATTAAGGCCCCTGTACTACATCCTTATACTAGTAGTCATTATAGACCCCTTGAAAGGAACCCTATTCCGTTTATTAAGGCCCCGATATTCAGCCCTCAACCCTAAACCCTAAACCGAGCGCCCCTTTGCAGCTGAAGGCGGCTTCTGCCGTGCAGAGTGCGCAGTCCCAGGTGCGCCGATGTCATCCTCAAGGGTTTAGGGCCTTTAGGGTTTTTCGTTTAGGGCTCAGGGTTTAGGGCTTGGGGCTTAAGGGTTCAGGGTTTAGGATTTATGGCTTAGGGTTTAGGGCTTGAGGTTTAGGGCTTCGGGTTTAGGGCTTAGGGTTTAGGGCTGTAGGGTTTAGGCTGTGCTATTGAACTTGATGTTTAGGGCTTCAGGTTGTGAGGACGTTCCAGTTTTTGGAATCGAAAGGACAAATGGGGATCTTTCGTTTTGGAGTTCCTTCAGAGACAACGCATGTTGAATGAGTTTAATGATATGCTTCCCGTTCCCGGAGTGTGCTTTCTAGCTTCAAAGCCCCCTAAACCCTAAGCTCTAAACCCAAAGCCCTAAACCAAGCCTTAAGCCTCAAACCCTAAACCTTAAACCCGAAACCCCAACACCTAAACCAGGGCTGTTGTACGGATCCGTAGGTGATCTGTGATAGTGCAGGCCAATAATCGGCTGGACCTCTGCGGAAAAAGGCTCCATTGCACTTTAAGAGCAACAAAAACCACATTTCTGGTGCCGGGGCAAAAGCCGCTCTCTTCGACCAGGCCGAGTCCGCAGTGAAGAGCGCGCAGTCTCAGGCACTCGGGTTTAGGGTTTGGGGTCCAGGGGGCCCGATATTTCGGTGTTGGGGTAGATGTGGGATACCAGGGTTCTGCAGGTTGTTTTTCGATATTTGCGGGGTTCAGGTCTGCTCAAGGGCTTAGGTTGGGGTTTTAGATCTCGGCATAGAGGGTTTGAAGGTGTGAGGCCCTTGTAGACTATAGAAGTCTGAGAGGAGCTTTCATGCACGCATAAGGGAAGCCTTAAAGGAGCCCTTAGAGGACCCTGAGAAGGAATCCAGTAAAGGAGCTCCCCAACGCAACCTTGCATCCTGGTATAACATTCCAAAAACCCAGAAGCATCCCGCAGCAAATTTTTCCACAGAATCCTGCAAACGTCTTCAGGAAATGGTTAAGCAACCTTTCATCTTAAACCCGAAGCCCTAAATCCTCGTATGAATCCTACCTTGCAGCACCCTAAGGCCCCCGAAACACCTCAATGCAAAACCGAGGATGAGGAACCCTTTTGCGAGCCCTATGCCCTAAACCCTTCAAGAAACGCCGCAAGGAACCCCTCATGTGATCCCCTTTAAGCCTTGGCACGCGGCCTGTTCTAGGCGCAGAGCCACGTGACCCAGGCCTTTCCAAGAGACGGTTCAGAGTTCAGGGTTGAGGGACCAAAATCTGCGGCTGTTGCAGCCGCCCCGAGCGTTGCTGCAAACAAGGGGACGGTTGATCTGAGCTGTAGTGCAAGGGGCTAGATAGGGGATTATGTGCGAGGACCTTATGGGGGTGATTAAGGGGGATACTAGGAGTTTGGACAATTCCTCATCTGAAGGGGGATCCTTCAAAGCGTTAGAGCTGACTTTTGAAGGGCGGGAACACAGCCGTAAGTTTGCTTAAAATCCAGGCTTATGTTGCGACATGCAACTTGTGACATGCGAGGCCTAAAGACGTATCATCCAAGCATTCACTGGAACTCCAGGTTTTGGCAGTACCAGCAAACTTTCGTACACTGTCCGGGCAGTTGCTATTCAGTTATGTAGGTCTGTGCCTCCTTTGCATGTGGTTTCGGCTTTGGCGCTTGGGGATTCGGAACTTGTTAAGGCCCTAAAGCCCTCTATGCCCAAAGGCCGTGTGAACCCTGCTTGAGGCGCCAATCGTGACGCCGCCCCCACAGGTGCACCAGCCGGTCCACGTTGAGGGCAAGTTGAGCATTTTGCTGTCCCCCCTGTCCCCGAATCGAGTCATAATACACTATGCTCCAAAACCTTGTCCTGATTCAGCCCTCACAATCGGATTTGGTATTGGGTTGGGTCCTAGCACGCCTTCTGCCCCCTCTCCCCTGCGGTAGCACTGGCAATTTTTGAGGATTGTAGCAAGTTTGAAGGGCCCCAGCTCTTTGTACATGTGCCAAGTCACCACATGAGCTAGACTTGCGGAGTACCTTCACGATTGCAACTTGCTGCGATAGTAGAAGCTGGTTCCAACTGTTCCGCAGGCCCCTTACCTGAACAGTTACCACGGTGGGGCATAGGAGTTACAATAGCCCCTGACTGAAAATCACACGA